CCCCCCCCGAGAGCTGGTAGATCAGTGGGGACCACACCCGTGAGCTGTTGAAATACAGACCCGTGTTCGAATCCAGATGATGCTGGAAGTCGATTGATGAGTAAAATCAAATGACTTCTGAATTGGCTGGGGCCGGTCAGCTCAAAATGATGATGATTTGTTAAAAAAAAAAATAAAAAAAATGATGACGATATCCCAAGGCCGTCGCCCTTTAAATTTAAAAAAAAGGAAAAAAAAAGAAAAAAAAAGAAACGTCACATGTCGTCGAAGAAAACTTTTTGACCAATGATTCAGAAATTTTAGATGAACTAAATTGTAAATGATATAACCAGATATATATTAAAAAAAAAAAAAAAAAAAAAAAAATCGACTTCAAGTAGCAACGTCGAGGGCCTTTCTTATTTCAAACTGTGTTGTTGGGAAGAAGAGCGACTCGGAGTCGAACTAATCAATCTACAAATGGAAGGCATATTCACACACAGGACTATTGGGGGCAAATGAAACCGTAAATGCGGCCAGATGCATCCCCAATAGTCATGGTGTGAGAACGCCTCTCTCAACTACCCTACCGGTCGTTACTACCATATTCCCCCGAACATAACGCACCCTGATAATGAATGTATAGAGACTATCTTTCCGTCCCGATGCAGTGAAAATGACGGTGCGTTGTGTTCGGGGGAAGACGGTAGTAGTCGCACTAAATCAATCGAAAAAATGGCCTTTCCCCCAAAATTCCAGCTGGGGCAGCTACCTCAACGCCTGAATCTGGACGTGTTTGTAGAGACGTGCAGTTCAGGGAACTCAACACCATGTCTGCACATCTCCGCAAAAGCGTCCACATTCAGGCGTTGAGATAGCTCAACGCTGCTACGGTAGTGGGACTTGGCCCCTGGTCTCAAGCTAAGCCTCCCCACCGAATTTAATTTAATAAAATTTTAATTCGACAAATTTCGACGATCGATCATTAAATTCCAAAAACTGGCAAGAAGTGAATTCCGGGGGCGAGGCTACCGTCTTCCCCCGAACACAACGCACCCTCATTTTGACTGTATCGGGTCGGAAACATGCCTTGCATACGTTCATTTTCAGGGTGCGTTATGTTCGGGGGAAGACGGTAGTAATAACAAAGAGGATAGGCTTCAATGTCCCGATTCCCTGGATGGGTTTGTGGACAGGTGCAGAAAATCAAAATGAATCTGCTTTTTTTTTCTGCATCTCTGCCTCGGTGCACTTCTGCATCTCTCCGTAAATCACATCCACATTCAGGCAGGCTCTTCTTCAAAATCCTTTTTCTTTTTGCCAGCGGAACCTCGACCCCGAGGTTCAACGAAATGACAGCCATCGATTCGAACAAAGGTCGCCCCGAAAAAAAGCCCAAGGATTGCAGGGGTAAATTTGCAGGACTATCAGCTCAAAGAAGAAGAAGAAGAAGAAGAAGAAGAAGAAGAAGAAGAAGAATGAAGAAGAAGAAAAAGAGGAAGAAGAAGAAGGAGGAGG